GGGGGGGCACTTTTCAGCCAAAAAATGGGCTGAAAATCTCGGCTTATACTCGAGTATATACAGTATTCCCATTCACACAGCATACCAGAAATATTTTTAAAGTTAAAAAACAAATGAATATTTAAACATTTAAAAAAAAATATTTCTTAGCTTTTAGATGTATATGTGTAGCAGCCCTTTGCAAACTTCTCTCTCAATTTCCATGTGACAGGAAACTCGGTCTGTCCCCATAGTAAGAGCAGAGACGGACTGAGCTCCCCCTCATTAACACACAACAATTTAAAAACGTTAACCATTTGTTAGGAAAGTGTTAAAAAGAGAACTATGGGGGTAAGTGTTTTTCCCCATAGGGTCACACAAGGACATATACCAACCTCCGACCATGACCCAAAGCTCAGAATGAAAAGAAAGAAAAGAAAAACCTTGCCGCACTCCTTACCGGTACTCCCATAATATGCAGATGGGTGCTCGAAATGACCGCGGATGGCGCCGCCACATGTAGTTCAAAGGATGTCACTAGCACACCACACGATGATAGTAAGCAATTACGTGTTCATTTATTGACAATCGCTGCATCCCTAATAATGCGGGTCTTACGGCCGTTGAACATTTCTTTAGTACGGGTGAACATGGTGTTCCTATAGCATTTTTATTGTGCTGCCTTGACTTTATCCTTGAGAACAACACAGGGGTGTCCCGAGGCTGACTGACACCCGGAGCGGTAACCGAGTGTCACCCCGCCGAGACGTCATCGCGCACGCGTGGCAGTATTCTGATACCTGCCGGCGGCCATCTTGGTGATGGACGCCGGCAGAGAGAGGACGGGACAGTCACCTGGCGGGATAAGGTATGCCGCCGGGTCCCCTCCTCTCTCCTGATACTGTCGGCTTTTCAGAGGGGGGTGACACCAAAATGACTGAGTCATTTTGGTGACACCCCTCCAATGGTGGCACCCGGGTGCCGGCCGCACCCCCCTTGTGACGCCACTGGAACAACATTTTCAGGCCTTTAAACCGGATAAAGGGACTGAAATGGGCTGCTCGGCAGCCCCATCGTTTGCCAACCTCTTTGTGAGTACCTTGAAGATTGCCATGTCTACAAATCTCCCCTGTATATAAAAGATGTTAGGATGTGGCTAAGATTTATCGATTACATGTTTGTCATCTGGGATGGTGATGTTCAGGTGTTTAATGAGTTTGTAACGTACCTCAATGGTGTGTTTTCTGGTATTGTTTTTAACCCAATTAAATCAGAAAAAAGGAGGATTGCCTTCCTAGATGTATCTATTACTATTATTAACAACAAATTTTCTACATCTGTATATTCCAAACCTACGGATAGAAATACACTTTTACATTATAGTAGTGCGCATCCCCCAGCATTTACGCGATAATCTGCCAGTCTCCCAATTCTTACGGGTTATGCGCATCTAATCAGATTCTACTGCACGAGCACAGCAGATTGGACGTATGCATGACAGATTTATACAGAGAGGCTATTATACTTCAGTCATTGAGGCAGCACTAGCGAAAGCTGCAGATAGATTCGAGGGCGAATCTAGCAAAACTGTTAAACAAGAAAGATTACCATTCATACAAACCTTTACGTCCGCTTCCAGAGCAGTTAGCAGGGCAACGTGGGAGAACTCCAATATTCTACAGGCTGACAGGACTTTAGCATCATTTTTTCAAAAATTGCAACTTGTAGGATTAACAAAGAATTAAAAGAACTATCAAATTGCAGTCAATTTAAGAATATGTGGATGTGATTAATTACCGTTACTAAATAGAAACATCTTGATACACCCAAGTATCAAAATCCTTAAACGACCAATAGAAAATCATAAGGGATTTATGTACAGCCAATTAAGGGCACGTGTATCCAACCAACCACAGATCAAAGTCAGTTTGACTAGTCATCGATTTTAATCAATTGACAGGAAACTGTCAGCTATGTGTTCAGCAATCATGTATGTTCGTTTTTGATTAGAAATAAAGTAAATTTTCTTAAAAATTGACATTGTGGTTTGTCCCCACCATTGGTTAACCCTTGAACTGCCTTCATCTGCAAGACAGTTCGTATACAAATTTTCTTTTTTTTCAGCAATAAAAATTAGACCACTACACGTGTATAAACGCAGTAGGACACTTAGGGACCTATTGCTCCTAATGGACCCGAGATCCAAGTATGCTAAAAATCTGTTTCTATTCTCCAGCAGGTCTCGTTACAGGTGTTACCATTGTAACATTTGTAACTCCATGATATGTGGAGAATCATTCTTTCACCCATATAATGGCAAGAAATACAGCATCCAGGGATATTACACCTGTGACACTGATTTTTGTGTCTATCTACTGAAATGCCCTTGTGCACTAGTATATGTAGGGAAGACAATTGGACCTTTTAAGCGAAGGTTCCAAAAGCACAGGAGTGATATACATATAGCCATCGGGAAATCCTCGAAAGGGGAACAATTAGACCTTAATAAACCTGTTGCAGTACATTTCGCTACTAAGAAAACACCAGGTACACGAGCTTAGAGGCATGGTAGTTGAACA